GCATGCTTTTATTGTTTCCAGACTGATTAAAATTTAAAAAACTTCTAAACAATCCCTTTAAATTCCTTTCTGTATTTGAAAAAGTTTTTCGTGTCTTAAATTTGAAGAATAAGGTAATTAAATTTTTTTTCAGTTGAAAGTATTTAATGATCTTGGAAAAGGTGTGTTAGAAAATGCTTGGCAAGGTTATAATTGTTCTCTATTTGCCTATGGTCAAACTGGTAGTGGTAAATCCTACTCTATGGTGGGCTATGGTAATAACAAGGGCATTGTACCCTTGGCTTGTGAAGATCTATTTAAAGGTATAGCTGATAAACGTGTTAATGCTAAGAAAGATGAAGAATATCAGGTAAGTCTTGTTGAATATTGTTTTATGTCTTAAAGGGAACATCAACTGAAAGATTTCCCCTAAAATTTGTTCATTAGTTTTCAGCCATCTTTTACGAGACTATTATATTATAGAGACTACGGTATCCCAATTACTCAAATAGTACATGTGTATTGATATTCATTCATTGTATTCATACGCCTATGTCTTGCATGTGTTGTCGTCAGTTAATAAAGTGTCTCAGCCCAGGATGGTCGTTTATAAAAAAGCTATAATGCAACACCATCCACACTTACTACTCTTTTTAAAGATGGATTTCCTTGTTTTTTAGTGACAAATTAAGCAAACTATTTCATTAATTGGTGTTCCTAATGAATTATCATGTGTTCTTAATCATATCATTATGTTCTTATTGCATATAATTAAGAGTTCTAACCAATCATAAATCATAAATGTCCATGTATGTACAGTCTGGATAAATAAAAAAAAAGTCTTTTTGACCTTTCTTGATCGGCCACTCATTGGAATTCTGCTGGTAATTCTCTTCTAATTTAGCTAATTATGCATTTATTATGGACATGTGAGACAAACTGGTATTTTTCCAAGTCATTAGAACACCTCTACGTTCTATTCATATAATCATTGGCATTTTCATTTTCATAAATGAAAATAAGGGAACCCATCTTTAATAGATGCACCACTTGCAAGATCTGTTTATTAATACATGTTTCAGATAGGCTACTTACTGCTTTAGCTTCCCCAGTATATTTTTATTGAATTGTAGTTGAGCTATATGTCATATTTTCATTCTGAAAAATTATACAGATGGCTTAGGTTGAGCCTTATTGGCCTACAACATTGTTTGTTTTTTTACAGGTAACTTTAAGTATGTTGGAGATTTATAATGAACAAGTCCGAGATCTGCTAAATACTAAAACATTACAAAAAGGTGGCTTAAAAGTTCGACAGCATCCA